AGGCCTTTGGCAAGCCAGGTTTGGTTCCCTGCTCTGTCACAGACTTCTTGGGTCTGTCATGCAGCCTCTTTACAAGTCGGACTATTTCCCTACTTCACAGGTGTGTTGCGATGACTTAAAGGCTGCGTCCACACAGCAGGGCTTAACTTGAAATAAGCGACGCTAACAGCTACGCCAATTGTGTAGCTTATTTTGAAACTGGGAGTGTCTACACAGCACTTATTTCAAAATAGAGCACTCTTCCTCTGACTTCCCTTGCTCCTCGTACAATGAGGGTTATAGGAGTCGGAATAAGAAGTCCTCCAGCTTGACAGTATTTCGACATTATTTTGAAATAACTGCCTGCTGTGTAGACGTGCACTGTTATTTTGAAAAAACGCTAGTTATTTCAAAATAATGATGCTGTGTAGATGTACCCAAGACTGCACAGTACTTTTCAGATCTACACTGATGAAAAGCAGTAAGGAAGAGCTAGATATTATTCAGAGGATAGCTGAGTTAGTCTGTACAGGATAACTGCACGGGTCATCTGAAGAAGTGAAAGCTCATGATACCATCTACATGTTCTGTTAGTCTTTAAAGTGCTACTGGACTATTTGTTGGTTTTTTTAAGTTTATCTAGATATTATTGTTCATTTTCTCGTCACTAATGAGATTCTACCTCTCTGTCAATAGGGGGCAACGGTGATCATTCTCTGAGCCTCTTGCCCTCTGCTGGATGGAATCAGAACTGCTCTGCCATGTGTCATATGCCCTATACTGTTACACTAACAAAGAGACTTTTTTTGCTCAAGCTGTCAGCCCTTTGGGTACAAAGAAGAATCCAAGTACTATCGCCTTAAGACCACTTACCTAGGATAGCGATGGATTTTAAAATGGCCTTACTGGCCATTTTAAAATCAAGACTGGATTTTTTTTCCCCCCCACAGGAGATGCTCTAACTCAAACAGGAATGAGTTCAGGGAAACTCTCTGGCCTGTGTTACACAGGAGAGCAGACTAGGTCCCTTCTGGCCTTAGAACCAATGAATTCCTGGTGGTATCCCAATGGGCGACAGCTACATCTCTAAAAGCCCAGGAAACCACCAGTTGTTGTCACGATGTCATTCTGAGGCACCTTTGGCCCGAGTGCCAACCTGCATCTACAGGGCTCGTTCACCCACTGTGAAATGTAGCTGCACCTGGTGGGGACCGTACACAGCAGCTGCGCACAGCAACACCCCACACCATTTTAGGACAGCAAGCAAATAAGACCATTAGCAACTGAAATCACAGTGGAGGAGTTTAGGGAGGCAGAATTTAATTACCAAAGCTGGATACAGGCCAGGACATCAGAGTTAACACCTTAGGAAAAGTGCTTCAGGATATTTAAAGACCACGGGTGCCCACTCCTACCCCCACCTAATTCCAGCACTTAAAACCACTACAAGTAAACTGAGAGCGAGAAAAATCCCTGACATGAGTTAACACTGACTTGGAGGGAGCCGTGTGGCAATCAGACCCTCAGACCTGGGGGAGGGGGGGGGGGGCGTGTCTGAATTTGGATCAGTTTAGCACAGGGATCATTACGCTCCCCTAGAAAGGCACAATTCTTCCAGCACAGCGGTTCTGGTGTCTCATTAAAAGTCATCAGGCTCAAAGCAAACAAACCGCTGCATGTCACTTTAGGTTTTATGGGGAGAAATAATTGTTCCCACAGCCCAATATGTATATAAAACTCACTCATAAAACTCACCCTAGCTTTCCCTGAGGCTGCTCAAAAGAAGGTGTGGGGGAGGAGGGGAAAGCTATTGTTCCATTGTTAGTTTCACAATAAGGAAAAGGAATGGAAGGGGAAAACTTTAAATTAAGTGGAAGAGCAAAGGAAGAAATACCTGGGATGGGTAATCAACATAAGGGCTTATCTACTTGAGGAAATTTACCAGCACTTAAGTGCACAAGTATCTGCTTGGAGGACAAAACTTTGATACTGGGCTCTTCAATCTAGAAAAGAAAAGTCTACCAAAAACTGGAAGTTGAAGCTAGACAAATCAGAATAATTTTTGGTGCTAATTTTTAACAGTGAGGATTTTTAACTGTTGGAACAACTTCCCAAGGGTTTTGGTGGATTCTCCAATGCTGTACATTTTTAAATCAAATTGGATGTTTTTATAAAAGAGAATGCTTTAAATTAACAAGGAATTAATTCAGGGCAGTTCAGTGGCCTGGGTTATACAGGAGGTCAAGCAAAGTGATCACAAAGGTCCAATCTGGCTTTATCATCTATTAATTTATACCTACACCATGACAGCTCTCCCCATATAGGCATTCTTATTCCTAAATAAGAGGTTGTTTTTTTTCCAATTTACCTATGTCACTTTGGAAACAGGAGTGATAAGGGTTGATGTATAACAGTATAATTATATCTGTATAGTGCTGGTAAGTTTCCCAGTGTAGATACGAACAGTATAATTATATCTGTATAGTGCTGGTAAGTAGATACACCCCAACAGTCCACACTAGATTATTCAGAGATTTTGGTAAACTCAAAAAATTGTGCTACCACTGTGAAATACCAATTTTGCTATACACAGGATTTTAGTGTAGCGCTGATGGTGTGTGTTCTGTGTGTAACGGCAGAAGAAATGTAACACAAAACTTTTCTGAGATCCCCAGAATAGAAGCCTTACCGGTAAACTTCCTTAGAAGCTGTGATGAGCCTGGGGGTTTCTTCCTGGTGGAGATGGCAGGAGCTACACCTAGGAAATGGTATGGAAGGAACAGCAAGTGCTAGGTGGGAATCCAGCTTATCCTTCAGGTTACAAGACATCACATGGTGACAATTTGTGAGGTCATAAAGGTTAAAGCCCTTCAAATTGAGGCCAGGATACTCCAGCACACCAGTACCTCAGATCCTGTGTTGCGGCAGACTTTAGCATTATATGCTGTCATCTTACATCACAAGGCAACTTGGGGTCAGCCTACCAACACAACCTTGCTATGTGCCATGATCACATCTTCTTGGGAGCCACAATCTAGTAGGGTTGTGAAGTGTCTACCCTTGAACTAGACACCAGCAAGCTGATATTTCATCTGGGCGTGGCATGAGGCCGTAATGTCAGAGCTATTTCATTTCCATGCTGTGTTGCAGCACAAATGCCCCCAGGTTGTGAGGTGCAAGGTGTCCCTCCAATGCCGTTTCTGTCACTTCTGACACCACTGTGCCCCGAGAGGATGGCTTTTCATCTTGGCACCACAGACAGACAGCACACCATCTCATTCCATTGCTTAGGTGCTTGCATGTCATTCCAATGCTACTTTCGGACCCTGTTCTGAGGGCCATGCCCTGGTCTGATGTAAGCGTTACCCCTGGGGGGGCAGGGGAGTATTGGTCTCATTGCCCCTGTACAGGTTTCCCAAGGCTTTCTCTTTGTAGTGGTGGCCGACCTGGGAAATCCGTCAGGGCACAGAGCACCTGCTGCCAGCTGGCTGGTTACGTGGGCTCAGGCTCTGCCCGCCTGTCCCAGGATTTTGTTGCTCAGAGGCGGCCACCTTGCGTGGGGGGGGGCCTGACCACGTGTCGCTTGCACGTGACACTGACTCAGGGATGCCAGGTTTGGCACCGGCGGCCACCTTGCGTTTAGGAGCCAGCCCCGGGTTAGGAGCCAGGGCATCATGAGGAGACGTCTCAGTTTGGGGCACGTGGCACCTTGAACCCTCTTAGCCCCACTTCCGGTCCTCACTGGCCCAAAAGCCCCACTTCCGGTCCTCACAGGGCCTCCCCATGTCCACTTCCGGACTCCTATACCCACTCTTCCGCTCCCCAAGGCCCACTTCCGGTGGTTCTTCCCTTCCCCCCCCACCAACTTCCGCCCTCCACCACCCCACTTCCGGTCAGCGGGGCGGCGGACACGTCTGTACGCAACCCGAACGACTTTCTCGCAGGACCCGCCCCCTCGGGTCACGTGACGGGCCAAGATGGCGGCGCCCATGCAGCGGG